AAATAAAAAATATCAAAATATAAATAAGTTTACAAAAATATATTATTAGTCCAAGACAATAAAGTAAATTTAATGTAAATAACAGAGTTAATGTGATTTATCATATTTAAATTTATTCAAAACTAGGTGTTTTCCTGCACCATGTGCAGAAATAAAAGTTTTAGAAATAAAATTATATTTAAAGATAAAATTTAGTTAATTTTAAATTTATTATTTGTTAAGTGACTAATTTTACCTTAATTATATGTATAAAATAAATAACTTTTGTTTAAATTTATATTTAATAATATATAAGTATTTTAAAAAATTTTGGAAAGATCTTTTTTCTTTTGGTTAAAATATGTTAAATCAGATTATGTACAGTTAAGAGAAAATGTTGTTAGGTATATAATAATCAAAATATAAAATTAAATAATATTTCTCAAATTTTCTGATGTTATAAATAAATATAACGGTATTGAATTATGAAATTATAATTTTTAAAAAACATGCATAAAGTTTTGAAAAATATTAACAAATATTATATAATATAAAAATAGACTTGACAAATATTTCAAAATTTGTATAGTGTTATATTTTTATTTCTACTATTATATTATTTATTCTTAAGTTAATGATAATTTTTGATTTATTACCATATTTTAAAAACCTACCAAAAATATAGATTAACATTAAATGATAATGTACATGTCACAATTAATTCTAAACCATTTTATCAGTATTAATGGATATTGTATCATTTTTAGTGAAATTGATTGTAGTGATGACACATATCAAAATCACTTCGAAAATAATGTATAAGAGGTTATGGTTCAATTCAAATAAATCCAAGTTAATATATCAACGATAATTGAACTGACTAATACATTTATAAGCAAAATAAGGTTCATACATATAAATTATAAAATAATCTAAAATTTATAAACTACATAAAATATTAATTGATTATTGCAAATTAGATAATTTATAAATATGTATATCTTTTTATGAGCACGGGAAAATATTTTAGTAAAAGGAAACCTTTACTAAAAGGTTGTCCGAATTCATAAAGTTTCCGCAGGAAAATATAAAGTCACGTCGAGTCATAAAAGAATTGGTTTTCAGAGTCGATGATGAGTGATATAAACTTGAGCCACCATGCACATAAATGGACTTAAATATAAAAAGTAGTGGAGACATGCAAGATTCTATGGGTTACATCAACATTATCATTTGCAAACGATTGACTGGTTGATAAATTTATGTTTGGGACAACTCATTCAGTCATTTGATTTCAGCCACATTTATATTTAACAAATTATTGAAAAAGGAGTATACAACATACAAGTCATACACCAATGCACCATACAACATGCGATCCGACTACTGGGAGACGGATTAATGGAACATGCATGCATGCTATCCTGTTTTACTTTCACTAATCAGTAGATATGTTTTGCAAATTATTTGTAACTTTAATTGTTAATGCTTTACAAATTATTATAGATTATTTAATATATAAACATATGTTAGCTCACAAAATATATAATATTTTATACTACTTTAAAATATAAAGTCATAGCGCATAATTCAGTAATAAATAATTTTTCCATTTTGAAAAAAAAACCACGTTAAAGAAAAATAATTGTTACACAAGATACATTACAGTTTTAATCTTATTATTCAATGGTGAACTGTAAATTTTAAAGATAATTGTGTTTTTAAAAAAAATTCTATTGATAAAAAATTGTAAGAAATCGTAAATTACAAGATATAATATATATTAATAACTAATATTAATTTATATTAGTAATATGTATGAAAATTTGAAAACATATGAAATATTTATATCAAAATCGTAATTTGGTGATATAGTGTGAGTTACAGACCTTGCTATCAATAAAAACACTCTCTTTGTTTTAAAATGTAGATAGATTTAGTTAAAAACAATAATTTATATTAAGAATTTTGTTACTTTTGAAAAAGTATCATTTAATATATATAAATTCAACCAATTATAAAAATATGGGTTGGTCAGATAATATTCATTAACTACAAATTTCCATCGAAATATGAAAATATCTATATTTTGAAACAATTTTTTATTCAAAACTACTTATATCGAGAACCAAAAGGAATATGAAATTAGGGACTTTTTTTTTTTAATTTGCTCACTCGAATAGGACCTCTTACCAGTAGACCTTAATTTTTTAAGGCAACTTAAAGATACATAAAAGTGTTTTGTGATGTAACTCTATACGGCATATTTTACATGCTGTTGTATTTAAAGTCCGTAAACAGTTATTATAGGATTAGGATAAACCAGAAAAACTAAAGTGATTAAGCATTTCAACTGAAAATGATATGTGGACCAGATTGATATGTGGACTACTTAATCTGTAAAGTGCCTAGTTCCTATAGGCGTATTTAAATCATCACTTTCTTCACCTATCACATTGCCACGCCTCCTTTTTATTGATTTATTTATTTGAAATAAAAGCGGTCAAGAAAAATACGAAGGAAAAAGGGTCGGCAATCTTATAGCCACGCCTCAGTTTTGATCTAAATGGATGCAAGCAACGAATTGTGTAAAGTCGCATTTTAGCGTGCAACGAACTGCAAAGAAAAATATGTTATTTAATGAAAAGATGTTATTTGTATAAACAAACAGAAAATAGGAAAAGCAAAACGAATAAATAATTATACTTAAGATCATATTTTCTAGGGTTGGGCATGTCGGTTTTATTACGGGTTTAATTTGGTTTGGGTTATTTGGATCTAAGAAATTTTAGCCAAAATCAACCTATATTAGTTTGGTTTGGTTTATATTCGATTTTAGTTTGGTTTCGATTTTAGTTCAGTTTGGTTTGTGTTTGACTCGGTTTAATATGATTTTGTTTGTATGTTTAATTCAATCGAATTGATTTTTTTAGTATTAAAATGTAATTTATAAAAAATATTAATATATCATCATTTGATACTAAATCATTGTTTTCTCTATATTTAAACATAAAACAAACAGAATAAATATTTAAAAATGTAATCCAATAATTTTATATTATTATTTTAAATTCATTATACAAAAAAGTATTCGGTTTTGATGTTAATGTACAAAATATTTTTTTATTTTAGTTTATTCTATTTATTTAGAGGTAAAATGTATAAAATTATTATTTATTTAAGTTAAATGGTTAAATATATTAAATCGAGTATTATTACTATATTTTATTAATTTTAATAAACATTTCAATTTTTCAGTTTGGTTTGATTTAAAACAAAACAAAACCAAACCATTCAGGCTGATAAAATTTTGAACCAAATGGTTTAGACATATATTTTGGTTGGATTTATATCGGTTTGGATTCGGTTGGGTTGGTTTGGTTTGGTTTTTTTGCCACCCCTAATATTTTCAAGATGGTCTGAGCAAAGCACAAATCAAAATAAGAGCAGAAAACAAATCAATGCACTGGAATAAAATTATATTGGATGATAGTAATAAATATATAAATTATTTTAAAATTATTAATTTGAAACATTTAAACAAGTGATATAGTGCTTTGAGTAAAAATATCCTAATAGTGATGAATGAGAGATGTTTTCTATATATTTGTTTTTTTTTGGCAAAAATATATTTGTTTTGGTAGGAATACTTGCTTATATATATGTTTTCTAGATATACGAATATAGTTTACTTGCTCATTTTTGCCAAATATTAATATAAAGTTTCCAAGTGAAATAGATTCAATTATGGTTTTGACTGGTAAGTATATCATATTAGAGTTAAAAAATAAAGTACAATGTGTTTTTTTTTTTTTTGCTAGAATACGCTCATACACAGAAATAAAACCATTTACACTGGTGTGAAGGAAACATTATTTTTTTTTGGTGTAAATGTTTTTGGTGTGAAGGAAACATTTTTCTTTTGTCTTTCTGTGGTTTTTAGAATAACTTTTTCCTTCTTATTTTTATGGAGTAAGTTTTCCTCTGGAATCAACATTTTCTATCATTTATTTTCTTCTTTCTTTTCCCTTACTTATCAAAGGTAAGTACAGATAAATAACTACGTAAGAATTAATAAAGTACATATATACATGAGAACGCAAAGTATGTTGTGTTTTTCTTGGACCCCAAGCTTCTCCTGCTAACATAAGAGTCTCTTTGTTGTTTAATTTCAGCTTTTTGATTACTTCATATTAAACAGTGCATAATAGTGTTTTCAAATTATCCGGTGTAGCCGATGACGTATAGATTAATCTTTAGATTAGTAAATGATTATGCTAAATATATATAAAAAATTAAAATAGAAAAAACATTGCGACATAGAAGGAAGTGAAAAAACATGAGAAACAAAGGATGGTGTCCAGACAAGCAAATATTCAAACCTTCGAATATGAAACAACGTCATGTTCTCTAAGACAGCCCAACTTAATTTATTCTAATAATAGCAAATTTATTAATCCCCATTATCGTATCTTGTCCACCATATATGTACAAATATAGACGTTATACCCATATCGTATTTTTTCTGAGATTCTTACTTTAATTACTGTCAACTTACACATCTCATACCAATATATAATTGCAGAAAATTACAATCTCATCAGTAATTTTTTTTTAACTTTGGTAAGTAACTATCCACTTTATTAATTATTTGCTACCCATAATCATCATAGTCGTTTAGACGTTGCAATAAAGAATGTGCTTACTATATAAATGTCCATATGTGATATGTCTATTCGTTAACGAATACCAACTCATGTTAAGTAATTAACAAGGTCATCAATGGGCGGCAAACAACTCTTTCTTTTTCTTTTCTTTTTTGTAATTCAATTTTTGTCGACATGGTATACTAGAAATCAAAATATTAAAAATTGCACTCGTACATACATATATGCATATAGGTGGACATGTATATAAATGTAAGAAGTGTGTCTCTCATCACAACACGTATTTTGATAACCTTTACTTCCAATAATTCTCTCTAACTCTCACTCGTCTTCGTAGATTTCTCTTGGTTTCTCATGGATCCACCATTCAATGAAACATACAGAACCTTTTTGTATAAACAGATCAAAAATACAGAAAACAATGTCCCCGAAATACCTTTTAGCTTCTCTGTTACATCTGTCGTTGAAGAGGTGGAGCTTCCAGTGATTGACGTCAGCCGTCTGGTTGAAGGAGCCAAGAAGGAGAGAGAGAAATGTAAGCAAGACATTGCTACAGCTTCAAGGGAGTGGGGATTTTTCCAAGTGATAAACCATGGAATATCAATGGATGTATTGGAGAAGATGAGACAAGAGCAAATTAGGGTTTTTAGAGAACCATTTGACAAGAAAAGCAAGTCGGAGAAGTTTTCCACCGGGAGTTACCGGTGGGGAACACCGTCAGCCACTTGTCTACGGCAGCTTTCTTGGTCAGAAGCATTTCATGTTCCCATGACAGATATTTCTGACAAGAAGGACTTCACTACGCTCAGGTACACAAATATTGTTACTGATTTACTTTTTAACTGTTAATTTGCATACTTTAACTTTTTTAATATTCAGATTGTTTAAGATAAATTTGGAGGACATTTTCTAGTAAGAAGATGTTGATAACTTTCCTCTTAACCTTAATTCTATATATACTAACTTTAAAATTTAGTTACCTTCTAATAACACATCATCACCCAGAAACCAGCTTGTGTTTCTAGGATAATATTTTGTACATATAATGCAATGTTGATTTATGCAATTGTTTGACTAATAGTAACATAGTTTTCTCAGAAAATTCATTTAGTAGTCAAATATTAGGAGCATGGGAGAGACGCAGTTTTTGTTCAGTATTTGGCGGTTTTGACGTATAAGTAGAGTGTTGTCATTTCTATTTAAATAATATTATTTAGTCCACATACATAAAAGAAAATTCTAAAAAGGTTTTGGCGTTGGGTCAAAGATTTATTCTCCATCTCTCATGCGTGTCTATGTTTCCCATTTTATTACTATTTTTGAATTATTAATTTCTAGATAGCAAGTTGGCATGTGAAATATAATGAATAAATTAATATTAATACGCAAACAAAAAATAATATCAAAGATTATGTCTTCAGAACATGTATTCAAGCATAGTTTACGTAGTTAAACCCTAGCTAGTTCTAATGGTGGTTTATTCTTTGACTCCTCATATTCAATTATTCATAGCACAGTTACGTAATTAAACCTTATGTGATGTTTGATCATAAATAATTTTTTTTGTAAAATTTTGCTCAGAATCTCTATTATCTTTTTTTTTTAAACAAAAAAAAAAATCTCTATTATCTTGTTTAAAAAAAAAGCTTATGTACGATCTTTATAACACATACTTTGACAATATAGATTACAGTACTATAGTCACGAGATAACTGTCTCTTTAGCAAAGAAGAATAATGGGAGGGAAGAAGTACTTGAACATGCCAGGCTAATAGGCTATGAATAGATTATCTTGTGATTAGCGTGTATGAATATGTGCGCTGGAATCTGTACATGTACTAGTATTCGTACGCATGTGGTTGTCTTACACATCATATGCAGTTTAAGCTTATGTGTTTGTGAATGCGTATATGTGTGACCACATCCCCTTACCACCACCCTTCACATATGTGACGACATCCTTTTGGCATTTCATGATAAGTCACTATTAGTTGCATTTTGACAATAAATTCTAAAAGTTAGTTATGTTACTTATGTATGACATCTCAATCCAATAAATCGTCTTTTAATATATAGTCATTTTCTCTATAAGTTGAACAAAAAAAAAGAGTCATTTAATTTTCTCTATGAAAAATAAGAATACTTTGGGAGAACTCGAACATTATTCCATGACATTTTACACAAATGTCGTAATTATGCAATAAACTGTGTATAGTAGAAATACTTGAATTTACAGCACATTCATCAAGGGTTAGTCTAAATTAAAATTCCAGAGTTAGTTTGCCTTGCAAACAAAAATAAACCTTTATTTTTGCTAAAAACAAAAACAAACTATTTTCCGAAGCCAAACAAATGATCGATATCATGTTGTTAAAAGGTCCCATTAGACATTAGTGTCTATTATACACACTTGAAACCCCTATATCCATTTATCTTTTTCTTTTTTAAAAAACTCAATGATCCTCAATCTTAAAAATAATGAAACAGAAAAATCCTTCATATTTTTGAACAACAAAATTTCTTATATATACTGTAATAACTATAAAGATTAATAGTCGATAAATTAATAAATACGATATATTAATAAATTTCATTGGTTCAAAACAAGATTTTTTTTTGAAAAATAAGATTAAATAATAAAATTTAGGAGGATTTTATTAGATATATGGTCTCATTAAATTATAGATTTATTACTGATACTAATAATATTTATAAAAATATTATATTATTATTTTTATTTAAAAATAAATCAATCTCAAAAAGCTACAAATTAAATTATTTGATCATATGACATTTATAACATATTTATCTTTTATGTTTTTTATCTTTTATACACCAAATTTCATAGTAGAATAGTATAGAAGCCAAATTTAATCTTTATATAAATCATGAAAGTAAGATTTTTTTTTACAATAAAACATATTTTAACTATATAAATCTTAAAATAATTTTAAAATAATACTTTTATAAATTAAAAAAATTATCATAGTTTGAAATTTATTAATTTACAGAGAAACTATTGTATATAGCTTTATTTTTTGGGCACAAATATATAGCTAGTTCCTTCATTGCCGTCAATGACTATTAACAGCTGGAATGTTCGGAGTATGGTCCCGTCACTCAATACTCTCTCCCAACAAATCAAACGGGATAAGTGAATAGAGTTTCATCATTCTAGTGGCCAAAGATGGTCTCTCTATACATGGATATGTAATCTATCCTAAAAGAGAAATGATATAGTAGACCCAAAATTTGGAAAGGATCTCATGTTCCTGACAGATAGGAGATATCTATCATAGAAAACCAATGGGATATACACGTACACGTACCTCTCTTCCCAACCTATTAAACCCTTTTCTTCTCGTCTTGTTTCAGTCTCTCCCCTGTTTTTGGGACCCTTCTCTATTTTAACTAACATGCATGTCTACACAAATGTCTTTAGATATAACGGCAACCTTGTTTGTTACATACACCAGCGATAACACCACTAATTGCAGCAAATTTCATTTTGCTTGATGACTTGCCAAGTTTCTTGTGTTGTGTCTTTGTAAGACCTCGACCGTCCAAGATTAATGGGTCTTCCACGCCCGTCCAAGATTAATGGGTCTTCCACGCCCATTCATTCGGCATGTGGTGTTTGTTCATCCGCACGGCGGACAGTGCATTAATTTTCAGAATTTTTTTTATTGACCATGCAAACCCTACACGTTCTTTCCCTACTGCAGTTCAATTATATTTAAATCTTAAGTTCTTTCTAACCGCGTGACCAATAATATAAGTACATTTTTGACATAAGTAATCAAATCAATTTTCTTAACCTCTTCTATATACCTTAAACTGAGATATTACAATCATCTCCTCTCACAGAAGAACACGTCCTCATTGCGCCCCAAAATCGTTACCCATATTAGTATGAGTCCACAGAGAACTCCACACTTGTATGGACACGGTTCTGATACCACTTGTAACATCCTTTCACGCCCATTCACTCAGCCCATGGGTCCCATTCCGTACGAAATACAATGAGTTATTTTTCCAACGTTTGAAAGTCTTGTTTACTTACCCTGCAACCACCACATGATTTTTACTCGTGCTTTAACATCACTTGCATGATATCGTGAATCACTTCCCTCATAAATCACCCTTCCTTACACTATTGTATATCAAGTACGCTTAACTCTGAAACTCTTTTTGGATGTGTGATCAAAAAAATAAGCGCATTGTTATGATATAAATATCCAAATCTATTCTTTTAATCCCTTACATATACACTCTTCAACTCTTCATGGTATTCCGTAGGTCCAGAAGGATACAAAACATTAGCTTGCCATTTTCAAAAAAATATGTGCAACACACAAATAAAAAATAGTCCAAAGTGTCTATTTTGTTTGGTAATTTTTTTTATCTCCAAGCAAATCAAATCAAATCATTTCCACAATTTTCCACCAAATTAAGCCATGTTCTACAATGCGGGTAGTACAGGCTATTAATCAGCGAGGAAGCACTCAACGGTGCTTGGCCGTGTCGATTAGGCTGTAGTTGGCCAATAAATCGGCAACAAATTTTTTTTTTAGTTTGAATGCTTAAAATCTTGTGTTTTTATGCAGCTCTATATGTTTTAGGTATAAAAATATGAAAACACATCAAAATCTTATGATATGTGTGATTATAATGTTTCACGGCCATGGAAAAGCTGTAAAATCCAAAGCACTAAACACAGTTGGAAAAGATGAAGACGAAATGACGGTAATGCCTTTCATTGAATGCAAAAAAAATAGAAATAACAATACACGTTGATCTAGGGTTGAACACATGTGCTTAACGATTAGAAGACTATGTTACCACCAGACTACTATGAATACTTGTAAATTATCATGCAAACTATTTAATCATTCATAATATATTTTTAATGGAAAAAATAAATTTAGGCTTCGATTCTCCCCGATTAATTGTTAACTCATTTGGTCCATATCATTCGTCCGACTAGTGTCTAACATAATTCCTAACAGGAAAATCAAGTAACCACTGTACAATTATGATTTATATTATATAATAACTCTACTTTAAAATAATAACTTTAATTTTGTTATCATTACTTCAGTTCATGGTTTTTCATTTTTTCTGTTAGCAATTCTAATACAAAACAAATTATCAATTCATGGCTTGGATTTAACAATGAGAATAAAAAGGTTAATGGCTTTCACAATTATTCCACTTTCTGCTTTTTATTTTGAAACTCAATAAACAGATTAACATGATTTATTCATGACCCTATAATATGTTAATCGTGATTATAATCTGGTTCATGCAATAATGTTTTACTTTTTGTATCGCAGCTCAACTATGGACAAATTTGCTTCAGAGTCAGAGGCGCTGGCATATACAATGGCAGAGGTTCTTGCAGAGAAATTAGGACGAAAATCAAGTTTCTTCAAAGAAAACTGTGTGAGAAACACATGTTATCTAAGGATGAACCGTTATCCACCTTGTCCCCAACCATCAGAGGTGTACGGTTTAATGCCACACACGGATAGTGATTTCCTTACGATCTTGTATCAAGACCAGGTGGGAGGACTCCAACTCATTAAAGAAAATAGATGGATCGCCGTTAAACCTAACCCCCGTGCTCTCATTATCAATATTGGTGACTTATTTCAGGTAATATCATGATGAAAAATTCTTACTCAAGTTGGTTTGGTTCAGAATTTTATAAATCTTGTGGTTTAGAAAAAGCCTAATTAAAAGTGATCTCATTTTTGTTTGAATAGTTTATATATAGATTGCATCCGTTATTAATGCAGTTTATTAAAATGTTCTTAAGAATTCTATATATGTGCTTTTGCTAGGCATGGAGCAATGGCATGTACAAAAGTGTGGAACATCGTGTGATGACGAATCCAACGGTGGAGAGATTCTCAACGGCATATTTTCTATGTCCATCATACGATGCAGTTATAGAGTGTTCAGGTGATTGTCCTGCGTATAGAAATTTCAGCTTTGGAGAATTCAGACAACAAGTTCAAGAAGATGTTAAGAAGCTTGGTTATAAAGTTGGCCTTCCTAGGTTCATTAATCATCTCTACTAGTTTATAGACCCAATTTTAATGTATTCTTAGGGTTTTGCTATTTATATGAACTCTTATTATTTTGATATTTTTTCATATAAGTTTTTGTTGAATTTTCTTAATAAATATCGTATTGGTATACTGGCTATCTAACTTCACTAAGAAAGTCAGAATCAATTGGAAAACCAAATCTGTTAAATAGAGCTTAATTCGGTTGATTGTAGTTTAAAAGTTATAATTTGGTAGGATCCGCGCTTTACGCGGAATGAGATATTTGATCTGGTTATTTGTTTAATGAGTTGAAAAGGGATTTGTGTAGGATTATATAATCTGTAGTTATGTGCGGTTTTCATTCGGGGTGTTTTTTTTGTTAGGATTTTTTAGTTTTTAGGTTAATACAAATTAGTATCCATATTACATCAATCTGTAATATTTTTTGATCAGTTTATAATATTCTAATTTTTAATTTTATTTCATGCGTACGTCAACTAGTTATTTTATTCCATTTAACGTACAATGATTATTTTTAATTAACATATAAAGATATACAAATACTATTGATGAACCAACACATGTAGAATGTTAAGAAATATGAGCTACTTTATATTTAAGCAAACGAATAATAAAGTAATGAAATAAAAATAATGTGTGATCATAAGATTTTAATTTTGATCTAACAAAAAAGATTTCTTAAGTTTTGGATATCTACACGGCTATACGGATGCGATTCCAAAAATATAGGAAACATTAACTTTTGAAGGTACATCCTCCTTAATTTAACTGTCATAGTAACGTTGTTGCCATAATAAGAACAAGTTATATCCTTTTGGTCAATTTATAAAGAGACTTTATATTACTTGATGGAACAAATCAATAGAGTGATTAAAATCATAATAACGGAAATAGAAAAATTCAAATACCAAAAACCATGAAGTCCAAAAACTTCTATATATTATAGGATGTCGAAGTGAACTTATAAAATGATAAAAGGCTTCCGACCCAATTGGATCCGTCTACTGCTAAGCCATAAAAGCTTCTTCTCCTACTCCCGGAGAGGCGCAAGGTGCCATAAACCTTTCTCCTAATATATTTGTATTAATATAATCGTCTATATGTAGAAGAAATTATTAAATTTTAAAGTCATAATTAAATTAATATTTCTCTTGATAAATAAAATAGAATCAGAGATGACAAATAATTCAAATTCACCAGCTCTTTTTTAACAGAAACGTTAATCTTAACACCCTACACATTTTTACAAAAAAATATTAAGAACTAAAATACATTATAATCAAAAGATGCACAATTTTATAAAGCAGAATATGGATAACTCACGTTTGAGTCGATGAGAACCATCTCAATTGTTAGGCCTCCAGTTAGGCCTGGGCATTCGGATATTAGGTTTGGTTCCGGATAGGAACCATTCGGTTCCGGGTATATCAGATAAATAATTCTTATACCTAATAGGTACTTATGAGATTTTGGTTCGGTTTCGGTTCGGTTCCGGGTACCCGTTTAATATATAAATAAATATATATATATATATATATACAGAATATATTAGTTAATATGTTAATTTAAATAGTTTAGTGTTTACACGATTACATATTCGTCAATCCAACAAGAGTTCGAATCAATAAAGTGTTAATTTTATAAAATTTTATCATATTTTAGTATAGAAATACTATATATCTATATATCAATAATATAAGATAACAGATAAAATATAATGTGGTCTGGTGGTAAAAATGTACTTACTCTTTGTATTCAACTTGGGTTCAAGTGGATTTGATGTCATTTTATCTTACATTAAAAAACTTTAACTTTTTTCAGATATTCAGGTACCCGTTCGGTTCTCGGTTCAGTTCCGGTTCCGGTTTGGTTTTTTGGGTATATAAATATAGGAACCATTCAGATATTTAAGAATTTTGGTCCGGTTTTGGTTTCAGGTATTTCGGTTCGGTTGCGGTTCGATTTTCAGTTCCGGTTTTTTTGCCCATGGCTACTTCCAGTAGTAAAATACTGCTTACACAAACGAATGATCTTCACTCTAATCTTCCACATAGATATAAATGGCTTCAGATCAACCACAAAAGTGAAGGCCGACATTTTTTTTTTTTTGCCATATCGTATTTATTAATTGTTTGCCTAGATATGGGCTACTCTATATTTAGGCAAACAAATAATAAAGTAGTGAAATAAAAATAGAGAAAATAATGTGTGATCATAAGATTTTAAATCCGATCCAACAAAAAAGATTGCTTAAGTTTTGAATATCGATACGGCTATACGGATGTGATTCCAAATATATAGAAAACATTAACTTTTTAAAGTACATGTCCTTAATTTAGTTGTAATAGTAACGTCGGTACCATATTAAGAATAAGGTATATCTTTTTTGGTCAATTTATAAAGATAATTTATATTACTTGATGGAACAAATAAATAGAGTAATTTAAATCATAATAACTGAAATAGAAAAACTCAAATACCAAAAACCATGAAATCAAAAAACTTCTATATATTATAGGATATCAAAGTGAACTATATGATGATAAAAGGCTTCCGGCCTGATTGAATCCGTCTGTTGCTAAACCGCCATAAAAGGCTTCTTCTCCTACTCTCGGAGGAGGTGCAAGGTACCATAAACTTGAATGGCTTCAGGTCAACTTGAAAAGTAATGGAAACCATTTTTTTCTTTCAATATTGTATTTTTTCAACGATTTCAGTTATGAGGATGAAAAAATGAATAGGAGAAAAGGGTCTTATATAAGTTCAATATACCTACAGTGGTATCATAAAATCTCCAAAAATCTCACATTATTACAAAATTATATTAACCTTGCTAATCACTCTTTATCCAATGTATTACCATACCACACGCGAGATTATACGCTAAATAAATAGTACCTTGATAATCACTCAACACATATGATATCGGTTAATATTGGTATGTCTAACATTCATTATCGGTTTAATATAGCTGCACTGGTTTAGCAATGATACGTAAATTAACAACCACGATATCACTATGGAAATAAAAAAATTATCATATTCAAAATAAAAACACACTTGATCGTAAAAACGTTTTTCGAGTTAGCTAAAATTGTTTGATCATCCGAAATAGTTCAGCAGTACGGAGGAACGAAGACTCAATTGCATTATGATCAACTTGATCATAAACGTTATTCAAAGTCATGCAGACACTGTAAACACAACATAGCTTTGTATTATGGCTCGAGCCAACATTGACCTCAAGAAATGGGAACGCCGAGCATTTTTTATGGGAACACTGCAACTCTCTGCAGATTGGCTAAAGTCGGTGTGTGTTCTTACCCTATCAAAGCACGCTGGTCATACATTTGAAGTAAGCTTTCAGCATCAAAAGCACAAAACATACTCTTTACATACTCTCTGAACTAAACAAACCAAACGCATGGAAGAAAATAGAGCAAATGATAACTATGTTTTTACACAGTTAAAATTCTTCAAATGTCAATGAGAATGGATTTATCTTCAAAACCTACTAAAGTGTTTGTTAGATTTTTCTTTGATCATTTTCTTCAGAAGCTACTAACGTGTTTGACATGTATGTATTTTATCATTGCTCGTTTAGCTTCATGTATTTTATCTTCAATGTGTGTTATTTTCCTATCATTGATCCTCTTGACTCAAACCTGAGAGTACATATCATTGTTCATTTAGCTCAGACAGATCCTACAGAATTGCACAATCCAGAGAATAAAAACACATTCGGGTTTAAAAGGTCGTAAAGCTATGCTGAAAAGTTTAAATAGGAATAAGTGTTCGAGATCATGTATGATATGATCCAAAACATACAAAATAACCACCCATTTAATGTGTTCTCCTACCATGCATTTTCTATTCGATTATGGATTGTGTTCACACGTTATAAAAAGACATATATATTTAAGAAAAGTAGTTGTTTGCATTAAAAGCCTTAATTTTTGTGAGAATCATTTTCCATTTGACACGTAAGCAAATATCGAAATAAAAGCCTCTCGTGAAACCACATCATCTGACTCGCTAATGATTTTTAAGGTAAGTCTTAAAAGTGCTACTCCTGTAATATATAGGGAATTACTGATTCAACATAAAATTTAAACCCATGTAAAAATTCTGAATAAAATGGTTGGTTTAGCCTTTAGGTTTGACAAATCTGAGTCTTTCCGGGAAAAATATATTCCACGAAGAAAAATTATCCTGTTATAAAATCCGAAAGACTAAATATCGTTTTGATATTAAAAAAACTTGTTGAAGAAAAATAAATTGAATTTATTTGTTTTAAAGAAGTGACAGAAGAACAATCGAGTAAACTGAAGCAGTGGTTCCGAAGCTTTACGATGAGAGACAAAATAATCGAGCCATTTATAAATGAAAATATTACATCAAAAGACAATTTTAAGTTTTTATAAACATGATAGGCCAGTTTCTTCAACCAACACATTTTTTCCTAACAGCTTTCTATATGCCAAACAACTTAGTTACATTAAAACTAAACAGCTATGTAACTAAACCAATATTTTAGCGAGAATAAACACACACCATACATTGTTTTTCCAATCAACGGGCAGATTAAATCTGACATTTTTGACAAGATTGATATTTGTCTCTCTCCTCTACTTTTAGATTTATTTATTTTTTATTTCAGTAGCCCAGATTATTTATGCTGTAAATTCCTTCTTCATGTTTGATATTCATCTTTATGCTTGTTTGAATTTCTGCAAATCAAACATTAATTATCTTCTACCTTCATCTCCATCGGATTACTGTTGCTAATACCCTGGTCTGTTCTTCCATCATCTAACATCACACCAAACCATCAACTTGTTTATCATTTTCAAGACTAATGGAGTCAAATAACAAACAAACTTCTACAAGAAATCCTCATCTTTCCTCTAAATCAGAATAGCCCCCTACAATTTGCTGGGATTTTTCTTATTCTAGCTAAAGAACTCATCACAATGTAAACAATGACACTGAACCCAACAAGAATGCTCAGCTTGAACTAAAGTTTCCTCTGGCTCAGCGTCACTTCTACAAGAACATGGCCACCACAATGTACACAATGATACTGAACCCAACAAGTCTCTAACGTGTGTACATCTATCAAACAAAAATTTAGTCTAAAACGTGTGTACATCTACTGTACATGTGATTTCTTATAAGAATCATAACTTGTGCGGTGTACAAAAGAACTAATGTACATATGATGTTATATAAAACATTATACATGTGGACATGTGATTTTTATAAAAGAACTAGTGTACATGTGAACTAGTGTACATGCAATTTTATAAAAGAACTAGTGTACATGTGATTTTTTATAGAATCATCAGATATCATAACTTCCTTTGTAGATGGATTTGTGAGCGTCGATGCTGCCACCAAAAAAATCAGAATGGACAAAGAATACATTTCTCTTGTTGGAGAAACAATATATAATGTTCATGTATTATTGTACAAGTTAATTTGTGTACATGTGGATAATAAAAAAATATGTACATGTTATAGTGTACACATCAAATGGCTTAAAAATAAACATTTTTTGTAATGCATGTTGTCTACTGTACACATCAAAAGACTTCAAAATAAACATTTTCAAAATGAATTTGCATACTAATCTTAGAAAAATAGGAATTATATTGCACAATTAAAAGTGTGGACCCAAATTGAAAGCATCTGTGCAAATTTGTAACTTTTAGAGCCAAATTATAAATAGTTAAAAATTAAAGGACCAGCCTTGCAAATATGAGAAATTTGTTTTGGGAATGGATCCCTTCGAGGTTTGACAGATTGGATCGACTCCCGATTTGTTTCGTCGATGGTTGGTGAGGAGGAGAGGTCACAGAGGAAAGCATGACAGAGTTTGACGAGCCACCGAACTAAAAACGCTGAGGAAGACGATATGCGATGGCACTGAGATTAACCACCCGTGATGATGGATTGTAGACCCACCGAGAAGTAAGAACTCGGAAATAAAATCTAAAACTTGAGCCTGTAGTGGTGCTTGTCTTAGACTGAAAGTCATGGTGGATAAAAAGAAGAAGAAGGTCGAAGTGGAGAAGAAAAAGAAGAAGATGGTCGAAGTGGAGAAGAAAAAGAAGTAGAAGGTTAAGCTTAATTATATTTCGGGGCCACAATTAACTCTATTTAAATTTCAAAAATCTAATGAAACCATAGGGTTGATTGGAAACAGCTGTAACTTTATACTTTTTTTATGTAGAATTAAAACTGTAGATTTTTTTTGTTGTGGCTGTGAATAACTTTGCTGTAAGATTTTAGCTGTAGGATATAATAGTATATACAAATTTTCTAAAGTAAAAATAAGTGCTTTAGGTTTATTGTTTTCTAGAGCCAAAGCAAAGAAAAGAAAAATAAAAGCCTATAGCTTTAAAAAATTTGTACAAAGCATGATTGGAAAATATTTTAACTTTAGCAATATTTTGGGTTGTAGAAAGACTCTACAACACTTTTAAAGCACTTGCAAATCATCCACCAAATATTTCTAATTAATAAGCACTTACTAGTTACTTTTTTAGAGGGTATATTAAATATTTTCACCCAAAAACTACTTTTGTAGCATAAATGCCTTATGATGGAGTCAAACGCTCAGGTACTCTTGCCCAAAAAAAAGAGCTGAGATACTCCTGCCCGAAACTAACCGGATTTGGAATTTAATATATCTTTATTTAAATCAGAAAATTTATTAAAAGACCATGAAACCAAGAGAAACTTAGATAATTACAACTCTACCTACGACTATCCAAACCCGAACCCTGAACCGACCCAAAAAAATCGGATACCCAGTTCCAGATTTTGAATTCCCGAATAGGTTTCTCCTTATTGGTTAAAAATTGGAATGAGGGTGAAAAGAAAATAATAAATTGAACTTGTAAAAATAAAGAATAGGTAGGTTTCACTAATTACTACTCCCTTTGTCGACCGTTCGCATAAATCAAAATTCTGAAAACCCTAGTCAATCGAGAATCAAAACCAAATCATGTTGAGTCGAGACGATCCGAAGTGTAAAGAAGACGGCTCGAGTAGTGTAGGAGGAGATGACATGGCTATGGTTATATTATTCAGAGATGAAGCAAACCCAAGCCGCATCGACAAATCTGTCTCCCCGGGAACCGACGAAAAAGAGAAGAAGCCGTAGACGAAGGAGAACAAGAGAAGGAAGCCGTAGACGAATGAGAAAAAGAGAAGGAAGTCGTAGACGAAGAGAATAAAGACAGAGAAGAAGAGAAGGAGCCGAAATAAGTGGAAGAGGAAATGGAGCCCCGAAGAGACGATGAAACGGCGATAATTGTACGACCACATGGAACTGAGTCGCATGCAGAGTCGGGAAGTAGGAAAGATGATTTGAAGAGATTAGATAATTGTGGAAAACTAAGTGCAATTTAAGTTACTGTAATTTGGAGAAACAAAGTGAAACTTATAATGCGTTGATGACTTTGTGAATCTGAGTGGAACTGCAACAATATAGATGTACGAACCTTGTGAAATCAAGAAAAACATTAAATGAGTGATTGCTGAACTAAGTCGAAGTTTGTGAAACTATATGTTGATGGTTGTAAGATGTCGTATGTGATCCGGTATTCAATTGAGTGCAGGTTGTAGATGACAAGCATGAAGGCATGCAACTGCTGAAGTTGAGCTTTCCTTTAAGCCAGTATCAAAAGTCTTTAAAGCTTTCATGAAAATGTTACATTGACACTTGCATAAAAAATATGCAAACAATCCTGAAAGAGAAGGAGATGGTATGGTTCATAGAGCACCCACAGTTCCAACATTTCTTCCATATCAAAAACCGAAAGCAGAAGTGGATGGGACTGTGGCTTCTCGTTTTGCGATCAGCTTGTGTCGCAAAGAAAAATGAGTTATGGTTTATCGTTAATGGCGTTCAAATCCGATACTCGCTCAGAAAATTAGGACTCATTTCTAGACTATACTGCCATGAGTATCCTCCCAACCATGAGAGGTTGGGTGGTATAGCATTCATGAACAAGTATTTTGGAGGGAAAATGGTAACATACGCTGACGTGGAGAAGCAGATGTTGTCAATGAAATCAAAGCCATCTGAGGATCGTAAGAAGATGACCGTTATGTACTTATTAGCCAGCATCCTCGTCGGAGGCCGAAAGACTGGTGACGCAGCATCACCTGTGGACAGTTTCTTCATGAATGTTGTTGATGACCTAGATGCGTGTTTAACGTTTCCTTGGGGGCGGTATGCATTCGAACATAGCTTGAAGGATGTCTCTAGGTTCTTGGAGAAATCCGACGGGGTTGCGTCGACGAGTTGGGTTTTTACAAGCTTTCCTATTCCTTTGGAGGTATTTTGAAGCTCTGTTTACTTAGTTGTGTTACTGTTAAATTGATGTGAATGTTTATTTGTTGTGTGTCCGTAGTTGTTGAGCTTTGAGGCAATCCCAAGCTTAAGGAACCATTTCCAAGAAAATGTGATTGGTGCACGCCCTGATTGCCCGCGGATTTGCAAGATGGAGTACAAACACAAAAGTGGAATCAAGGAATTCAGTCTCAATTCTATGAACGATAAAATTTGTACTGATACAAAGGTGAGATAATTATATTAATTCGACTGAGGAAAACTTGGTGAAACCATGAAAATTTGGTGACAGGACTTATGAGACTTATGAAAACTTGGTGAAATTAAGGCAATTAATGTTTTTTTTGTGTATTTGTCATAGGAGATTGAGAGTATCTTGGTAGCAAAAACAACTGAGAAGGAACTTCTGGAAACCATAGGGATGGACAAGGAAAGTTGTTGGGCCGATGACTCCGATGATGCAGTAGTTAATCGGTGGACGAAGATATTACAGAAAGGGTCGACACAAGTTTTATTTGAAGAACAGTTCCGCATCGATTGTGAGGCTCGCACAATGCTTAAAGGTCCCACCGATACTATCGGAGGACCATCGAATAATGCGCAATCTGGTAAGGCTCATTCAGATTCAGGGGAGGATACTGGACCTGAGGCTTTAAAAGCGATGGACGGTCGGCTTATGAAAGTCGAAGAGGCTGTGAAGGATGCTGTAAAGGATTTGAAGAAAACAGTCTCTTCATTGTCTGACAAGCTAACTCTTCTATAAGACGAAGTGAAAAGTCTTAGGTCGAGTGGTGATAATCCGTCGGAGGAGAATAAGGAGTCGGACGAAGAGGATGATGTTTATAAGGCATCGGAGGAAGAGGATGGTGGTGATAAGGAGAGTAAGGAGTCGAAGGAAGAAGATGACGTAAATAATTACATTCGCGATGTTACAAACGAAGTGCAGAAGGAACATGGTGATGTTGATGATAACATGGATGAAGATGCTGCACATATGATTGGTCATGCTGAGAAGCATGAGAAGGCAGAGGCTGAGAAGGCTGAGAAGGCAAAGAAGAAAAAAAAGAGGGGGAGAATAGATGATGGAAAAGAAGCAGAGCCTTCGAAAAAGACAAAGGGTTTAGGAAAAGTGTGGAGTCCTGTAATACAAGAAGCATGGGTTTTGGGGGGAGAAGGGAGCGGAGGAGGAGGAATCAGAGGAGGAGGAGGAATCGGAGGAGGAGGAGGCAGCAGAGCAAGAGGTAGCAGAGGAAGAGACAGCATGAAAGAAGAATAGAGGTGCTAAGAAGGCAGCAGCTGAGAAGGAGGCATCTAAGAAGGCAGCAGCTGAGAAGGAGGCAGCTAAGAAGGCAGCCCAGAAGAAGCCACCCCTGAAGCCGAAGAAGAGTAAGACAAAGAAGGTAGGTAGAAGACGGAGTGAAATCCGTTTGTAGTTGTTTTAGTGTGGTTGAACTCTATTCGGTTTGTATGACATATTTGAATTTCCGTATGACTTGCATGTTTGTTGTTTAAAACTTAAGTTATTTAAGACTTGTGTGTGTGTGTTTAAGAGGGATATTGAGAGAAACTTTCAAAGTTTCATTTTCAACTTAGTCTAACTTCGTAAACCTAAATTCCTTCGAAAATCTCGAAAAAGAGGGATATTGGGAGAAATTTTCAAAGTTTCACTTTCAACTTAGCCTAACTTCGTAAACCTAACTTCCTTCGAAACTCTCAAAAAAAAGGGAGATTGGGAGAAACTTTCAAAGTTTCACTTTCAACATAACGTAGGATGAGTTGAATGCCGAGTTCATACTGAATAGTTCATAACATAACTAAAATAGATAGATGTTCGGGTGAACATAACATAGAATCCATAAATACATAATATGAGAGCTTGGTAAAAGAGGAACATAATCTGAATCTCATGGAGTGGTAGGATTCAGACGGGTAAGCTTATACTTCAGTTCATACTTCAGTTCGGCAATCTCCTTATCCATCGCATCCACACGCTTCCTTAACATTTCCACCTCTTCCTGGACTCCGAAGACCCATGGTTGACGGAAATAGAAGTCATCATTCTACACGTGAAACGTAAAAGTATCAAAATCTGCACATAAATAAAACCCGAAAGTATCCACAAATTACCTCAAAATTTTTGTAAGTGAAGTATTTTCTCCCCGGTAAAGTATCAAAATCGGTTGGATACTTTGGGCCCCGAGACACCTCGTTGATGATTCTACCTCCACAAGGGCATCTGGTCTGAATCCCACACTCAGCATCTGCCACGAAGCCACGCATGTCGAATTCTCTCTTCAAAGCCTTCATCTCCCTATACTCCTTGTCTGGATGAGTCATGATTTTGAGTAATCGAGAATTCTAGAAAGAAGAGGGACAGAATAAAGATCTGAGTTCTCGCCAAATCTATCTAGAGAGAGAATGAATAAATGGGTGAACCAGAAAAACATTGGTTTTAATACACGTCTATGTCGATTTTGGGGAAACTCGGAAATCGAAAAGCTGGACGGGAAAAATTTGTAAATGATTTTCGTACTTAAAGTTTCACTTGGTTTGTAGTTATACAAAAACCTTTTAAGTTTTACTTTTCTGTTTTTTTGCGATTTTGTTGGTTTTACTGTACTTAGATGATTAATTTTATGGTTATACCAGATATATTATGTTTTATATGAACGTTTTAGATGTGTCAGTGTAGAAAAAAATTTGTTTTCGTGACATATGTAACTTTTTTAATCCCACAGTGTAGTGTATACAAAAAAAAAAATCTAACAATGAGGTATTCCCTTCCCAATTGATAGAAAATGTGATCCAGATTATAAAAAAATTCCAGTCCACGTGATACGGATCTCAGAACATGTTGAATAAGTTACGTCATATTCCTTAAACATGATTAAGTAATGTCATCGCATGTGTAATTACTCCAAATCAACAATAACATAACACAAGTTTCACCAAGTTTTAGAACTATATATCGCAATAACTTTAATTAGTTTCACCAAGTTTCACATTCACATAACGCATGTTTTCACAAAGTTGTTTGAGTGCCTTGTGTTTCTCGTGATCCTTGAGTGCCTTGAGTGCCTTTAGTGCCTTGTGTTTCTCGTGATCCTTGAGTGTCTTGTGTTTCTCGTGATCCTTGAGTGCCTTGTGTTCCCCGTGATCCTTCTGTTCCTTGAGTTCCCTTCAAACAGTTGAAATAGCTTCCCAAGCCAATATTCGGGTTATACTTATTATGACGGGGACGTGGCCGACTTTCTCCTGCCGAAGGAAACCTTTTTCCTGATGTCTTCCTTTTTTCAAGTACTTTGGAGGTAAGGGACACTTATCCGCGACTTCTTTTGGAACCATCCAATCAGACATATGAGGGACTGGATATACAGTCCTTCGATACGCCAAAGCCCACACTCTAATGAAGTAATAATCCGAGACGAAATCATACATGTCACTCACCTGTATTGGTCTATCATGCTTTAAACACTTAATGATAGCGCGTATTGCATGTCTACACGGGTATTTATCTATATCAAACTTCCTGCAACTGCACGTTTTCTTGTGAAAATCCACCAAATAAGTCTTTCATCTTCTCCAATAACACGGTATTCAAGCTGAAAAGTGTTCAGCGGAATCACATCAAGTCTTGAACCTTTCGGTGTTCTATCATGGATTTTGTTCTCCACTAAAGAAACCAATTTTCGAGATGCCGGTCTGGCTGCTGCATATAATACCCATGTTGATACACTTCAGAAACAGCTTTTATCAGACCTGCATTTCTGTCTGAAACAAACACCAATTTCGTCGAATCTGAAATAACAGTTTTCAGCGTTGTGAAAAACCAATTCCAGCTTTCTTTTTTGTTCCCATCAATGACACCAAAAGCAATTGAATAATGGTGAAGGTTTGGATCCTGAGCCGTGGCAATAACTAAACAACCACCTTCAACAGTCTTCAGGAAAGTTGCATCGACAGTGATGACTTTTCTCATGAATTCAAACCCTTCAATGTAGGCTCCCAACGCAACAAATAGGTATTTGAACCGCTTTTGTTCATCTAGTAACAAACTTGTTTTTGTATCCGGGTTCACCTTCTCTAACATATACAAATAAGAAGGTAATATTTTGTATCATTTCCCGAGATCACCACGCAAATCCGCAACAGCTTGATTTTTTCCTCTCAAACATGTCGTATACGACACTTCCACACCCAATTTCCTTTTCACCAGACCGAGCAGGGTTTTCGCACTTGGTGTCTCATATAGTCCCGGATAATCCTTATGCACTATAGATGCAACACATCTTGGGGTAACTTTCCTTTTGACTCCAGTACATGAAGTTGCGCGAGAGCATGAATGCATCTTCATGTATGTTATAATCGTGAACACTTCAGAATTATTTATCTTTGTAGCTCTCACACCCCATTTACAACCTTCAGCTGCTAACCGACATTTCACTACATATCGACTCTTGTCCGAGTTGGAGATACTAATTCCAAAACAGTTCAGCTGTGATGCTCTATCAATCATATCTTTCACATCTTCTTAACTCGGAAATTCTTGAAACAACTCAATACCCAAACCATCTTCCCACTCTTTAACCACTGGAATTTCTTTTGCAACACGTGGGAGCTCAACATAGTCCCAAACAGGACGAACACCCATGGAGTTATCCACGTCGCCATCATTGTCAACGATGTTGTCCATACCAATGCCCCCTTCACCGGCTTCTCCATTAACAACATTAATGCCTCTCTCGTCGGCTTCTCCATTAATAACATCAATGCCCCCTTCCTTTTCCTCTGCTTCTCTAGTAACAAAATTCTCCACCCCTTCAGCCTCTGGTAGATATAGTTCTGCTTCTTCAACTTCGGGTAATCCACTCGCAAGCTCACTATAGTTCCCACCATATGAGATTTCTTTCTCAACTACTGATTGTTGCTCCATTACTGGAACTATTTCCATTCATCTGATGACCTCTACATGCAAAATACTTCTTATTCCCTCTTTATCCACTGATGTTAGATACACAAACACATCTTCATCATCCAAAATATATGATTGCCTCTTAGGTTCTACTACCAGTGGAATGTAACTCAGATTCAGCCTCTTTAAAAACGGATTTATGCTCTTCTTCTTGCATATCCTCTCCTTCAAAAATGAATGAGTGATCTCATCCAATGATGATGTCTTAAAGGATATACCATACAAACGACCATCGCTTGGAATCCATTCATAATCATCACCAGATTTCTCATAATGTCCATCATAGTCAAAGTGTATGTTTGTAGAAAAATAACTCATTATCTGTTGTACCAAATAAAAATTATACAATTAAAGTTAATCTTAATTATACAGTTTTGCTATTGAAGTAATACTAAGTTATACCCTTTTACATATTTTTGTCAAGAGTAAAGTTTCAACACTTTTATAGTATACCAGTTTCACCTAATCACCTAATTACACTTTTATAGTCTACTAGTTTCACCCTATTCATTCCAAAATTCAGTTTTGATTCCCGACATTTCTGGTTATTAATCCAGTTCCATAACAAACACACCATCCTACTCCCAAATCTTTCCCCATTCTCCCCTAATCAACAACATAAATATTCGATATCTACTGTATCCCAATCTAACAAGCAGCATTTCATTCGACTCGACTGGTTATAAGATGAATTACATAATAAGATAATGCTTAACCTGAAGTTTTATTTGAACTGAGTTGGGGGGGTTCATTGATTTAGCATCCAAGCGAGCCGCAGCCTTTACAAATGAAGGTTCAAACGAAATTGAGGAGTGACTACAGCAGAGCTTACTTCGACAAGCCAAACCGGAAGAGAAGAAGAAACTCAGAGAAAAAGTAGTTAGGAGAGAGAAAAACGGCGCTTTTTTTATTGGTCAAATTAACAGATGAACGTTTTGATTGTTCAAGTAGAGAAGGTCACTTTCGACTTTGCCCATCGAGATGAAGAGTATCAGAATAGATAAGAGTACTCCAGATTTCGTAAGAGTATGCTAGATCACTTTTTTCCTCATTAAGAATATCTCAGTTCTTTACTCCTTATGATTATTTACTCCTTATGATGTAATAACTTATAAACTGTTTTGTGGTGTAAAAATTCTTTATAAATTTTATAGTGACCATATATTATGGGTCAATTCTAGTGTCCATAGAAATATATTCCAAGCCCAAGTCAAAGAGAATTGAATCAGTATCCTCTTTTCCCACAAAACTATTGAGAAATAAGAAATGAAAAATTTATGTGAAAGCAAGTTTCAATTTTATTTTCATTCAATTCTAACACGGCTCAAATTTTCTATAAGTGAACCCAAACCCAAACTAAAACAGCTCACGCCAGCTGATATACATATGTACATAAAGAAATATACCAAAACTAGACCAAATAAAATTAAAAAACGACAGGAAAAGAAACAGAAAAGAAGATTCTCCTTCTTTGTCACAACAGTCATAAACTCTTGTCTTAGCTTTCTTTTCCAATCTTCTTAAATGGTCTTGTGCGTTCGGCGTGCCCACTTCCCATGCTCTTTCTCTGTCTTACTATTTTTTTCATTTTGTTATAAAATAGACAAAATATTTATTGTCACAACCTCGCTCTTCGCTCTTCGTTTTTGTATTGTTCTGATTCATCTCCTCAAATATAGGTCGGTGAGATTATGGCATGTTCTATAGCCACAAACTGAGGTCGGTCACTATTAGTCTAGAGGCATATCTCCGGGACTAGACTTGCTGAGCGAGAGAGTAAATATGATTAACAAGATTGATCCCATGCTTGACCTGTCACAAAAATAAATATTCTGATTGTGATAGATACTCCGATTTTCAGTAACATGTCCTACATGACATAAAAAATTAATCTATATGTATTAAACTAACTCAAACGTTTTAACTTAATAAATGGCTATAAAACTAGTTGCCACTAGAACTGAACCATATGCAATCAGAAAAAAAGAAATTTTTTAATAATATCTTAGATATTTTTTCTCGTAAATAACTATAGATGTTTGCATTTTGAGTTATACTTTATTTAAAATTATCTAGCATTCCTTAAGTTTATATATATATCGAGTTATAAATGTAAATATATTATGTGGAAAAAAGGAAGTGATATATTACTTACAAAGTTGCACAGAAGAGGACGATTTTCTTCGGATCAAGCATCCAAGAAGCGTGAGAGCGTTTAAAACTCGACTTTCTTGCAAAACCAAATCGTCTTTCTCTATTTTGATCGGAGATCATATTACCGGCCGTGGCGGCAGACGTAGTAATGGTTATCTGATGAAGCGGCGAGGATGAAACAGCCATTGTTGAGCCTTGATGATCAATGGGCTCAACGGTACTCGGCTTTTCCGGCGTGCTTGACCCTACAACTCATCAAATGCCATATACAAGCTCTATCTAATTAATAACATATTTTTCTTTATTTGACTTGAAAAAATAAAATAAATATAACCTATTCATTAGTAATTCTATGCCTAATTAATAGTGGTATGAGGAAGCATGCGGTTCAGGAGAATAATATTGGTTTATTTGTGCTTGAAGCTATATATGTAGCCAACACAAATACATATTCAAAACGAGGAAATCAATAAGAGGTTTTCCTATAAGTAGATAGATTGGCAAGCATGACTCAAAAAATAGTTAGTAAGATGTATGTCAACAAATATTCTCCTTTATAAAAGGAACCTCGTTACGGTCTAACAGCTAAAAACGCATGGGCTGACTACATTACCTAAATCACACCTAACACTTTGTCACTTTTACATTGAAATGAAAAATATATATTCCACTAATCAGCTTTATTTAGATTAGCAAAATCGAATCTTCTTGCATTATAGATTAAAAAAATATAAAAAAAAACATACTAGTAGTATAAGATATCTATCCGCGCGCATACAATAATAATAATTCAGATTATAAATCGATTAAAAAGCCGAGATACATTTGTTTCCATCCCGAAAAAACGCCAAATTATTTTGTCGAAATTTAAGATTTTTCTCATTACTAAAGTCACAGATAAATCCAAATCGAAATTATAAAAGAATCTACTAGGTCCATTTGATACAATTACGTTATATCACATGGTAACAAAACATAACGAAAAAAACAAAATGAACCACTGGGCTCTAGACAAAAAATGGATGTGTCCATATACGTTGATTTAGTTGTTCACTTTGTTGAAAACTAATCGATATGTTATACAGTAAAGAAAATAATAAATCAAGAATATGACATACTCCAAATTAAAAGTTTACATTTTGAAGATCATTTAAATTTTACCTCTAAGTGGAGACTGAGGAAACGAGGTCTCCTTGTCATTACCATTTGCATCACAACAGAGTTTCCTCTCGTTGTTGTTTCTTGGAGATCCTTTCCTCGAAACACTTCTCTGCAACTTTTGAAAAACAAAATCATTTCAGTTATCTTATTCAATAATTTGCATAGATCATTATATAATATTCAATTATTGAGTTTCACTTTTTTTTAAAAAAAACTTTAATAAAAATATTGAATTTCACTAGGATAGTTCACTCCGGAAAAGAAAAATCTAAACCAGGCTTCATGCTATATGCAAATTACCAGAAAAGAAACCAGATAAATCCGTGGGATGATAATAGTTGAAAGCACGGCAAAAATATTTATAAAAATCTAATACTGGAAAGTCAACTTTCAGTTAGGGTTTGTTTTTATCATTTATTTACTGGCAAATAGTAAATGAGAAAAATGATATCGACGACACAAGAATGGTTTTGAAGGTTTTGGGCGAATCTTGCATGATTCTCACAAACATACATTAATTACCAAAAGACAAAAAACATAAAAGAAAATATTAAAAACGAAAGAAAAATGATAAATTTAATTTGGTCGTATTTCCAACAAAACTCGGTAATAAACAAACTACCAAAACACGGTTACTTAAGTAAAGTTGATTTCAAAAAAAAAAAAAAACTTACATTAATTCTGGGACTCGAAGATGAGTCTTTTTGGAGAACATGGGAGAAGCTCTCGACGTCGATCGTTACAAACCTATCTGGGTTGATGGGTTTTTGAAATCCCGATCCGATTTCCTGAACCGGAAGTGCGCCACCAGTTTCCATCGATAGCAGACTGGAACAAAACCATAGACAAAGAAAAAACGATCATTCAGGAAGAAACAGAAGATAAGATTGGTTTGTTTGAAATAGTTATCGTAACTACGAAATAAATATAAAAAGAAAGATGGAACCAACTTACTTTGGAATCAAAACAAGAGATTAAGACAGTCGGACGTCTCTATTGTGATCTTTGTTATGCTCTGTTTCACGATGAAGAAAGGTAGTTAATGTTTTTGGTCGGAGACAAAAAGGGGAGAGAGATTCTGGGGAATGTCGAAACTGAATGAGAGGAGATGCTTTACTTTTATTTATATAGAGATTTCTTATGGGTTGGTGCCCTTTTTATTTAATTATTTCTCAAAGGTAGTATTTGTAGTTGTCACACGCACAAGAGATAGAGATAGACTAATGAGTAAGTACTTATTCATAATCCTGATTCCTATATTTAATTTAAGATAAGTTAGTTGATCTCAGTGTGATGAAAATGGAATATTACGTTATTTTTGTTATTACAATTATAAAAACATTAAATTACAGTTTAGTCAACGGTATTACGTTTTAAATCTTACTAGATTTTGATCCGTGAAACCGCACAAATGTTTGCTTTCATTTATATATTTATTTAACATCATTAGTGGTATATATTTTTTTAACTTAATTATATATTTAAAATTATATATAAATATTTCAGATACAAGAATTTAGAGTTTACATGTCTTAATTAATTTTTTGTTTCAAAACATCACATGTATTTGTCAATTTTTATTATATATTTGTCTTGCTAAATTTGTAATTGATTATTAAATGAATCGATATATGCATAAAACAATATATTGAAAAAACAAATTTATGTTTTTTATCCGTATTTCAAAGTTTTGAATTACGTTTTAGTATTTTTTGTATTTCTTCATTTTAGATAAAATATTTATATATATAAAAATATTTAAGATATGTTAATTTGTATACATATATAATATAGTTTAGTCTGTTACCCATTTTGTTAACATATTATATTCTTTTAACATAAATATTTATGAAAATAAAATTCATCAACTCATCAATTTAAAATAATTTTGTTTCAGTAATAAATTTTTAATATGATAGATTATTATGATTATAAACATATGATATATATGTACATATAACACTTAATAATTTTTAGAAAAAGCATAGTGAAATAATTATCGAAGGCTGTAAATAGCAATCACCACATACAAAGATAGAGTCTACCACTATTGATATTTTGTTTTGAAAATTTGAGGTCTTGTGGGCGAAAGAAAATACATACGCTATCATACCGAAAACAAAAATAGAGACATGCGAGTAGGAGAGGACTAGAGCTATTAGCTATATGAAAAATAGTATAAAAAGTCATAAATAATGAAATATGCTATCGAGTGTTTATGAGTATTGAGAAGAATAAAATGAAAAAAATAATAATTAATATCTGTTAGAAGGCGTTTGGGCGTTAGATATTTTAAAAGAACTGTTCTGTCTTTTCTCTTTACATGTTTATAAATATATATTTACACTATACGTTTGTCCTATTATGTCAGTAAAACACTAGGATACATCCAAGAGTTATTTTCATTATAGGATAGTTTCAAGTTTTTAATTACAAAATAGAGAAGTTATTGTTCTTAAGGAAATTTTTTACAACTACAAGCTAACTAAGTTTATTCTTGCAACTAAATAGATTCTACAATTCTTAATTTTATTTTTCTTCTCTTTCTTTAATAGAGATATCATTCCTTTTATTTGTGTAACACAAAGAAATAATTCTAAAAGTAACAAAATGAAGAAGTTGATATCTGAACAAAATATTGAAAAACAAAATGAAAAATCCTAAGAAATCTCAAGAAAAATCTGGAAAAAAATGAAGAATTATCGCCGAAAATAAAATGAAGAACACGATTGCGGTTCCTCTGTTTCTTCTCCATTAACCAACACGACCATGCTTCTTCCTCCACGCCGTGCTCTGCAAGTCGCCGTGAAGGTTTCGGCGTTTACTTTGTGCGTTTTTGATCTGTTTTTTTTTTTCTTGAATTTGGATTATAATCTGTTAATCTATATAATATTAGTAAGTTCTAGAGATAAAACGCAAAAACAATGAAAATTGTATGATAAAAATCAATGGCGGATGTGTGTTATATTTGCAGAAAAACGCAAAAAAGCCTACTAGAAAGAAGATGAATTTATTACAAAATTGCCATTCATTAGAAAAAATAATTAGATGACTACGTGGATGTGTACATGATGTTAGTGTACACAAACTTGACGGGTACATTGGATGACTATGTGGATGTGTAGATAATGTTAGTGTACAAAAAACGTGATTTTTCTGAATTAAACAACATGATTATATATGTACATGTGTACATAATTACATGGTGGACCTAAGTTTTTAGCAAACATTTGTGCTTAATATTTAGTTTGCATTTTTCAATAATCTCAATGATGTAGTATACAAATATTATCAATTTAAATGATAAGAATGAAAACTATACATGGGAAATGAGTTTTATGTTATTCAATATACGTTCATTTTTATCACTTTTTGTTAATTTTGTAGCTTAGTCTCCGTGGATAATACATTATGTGTGCACTTTGATAATTTTTGCATATTCATGTGTTCTAACATATGTGATACACATATGTGTACATGTTTCTTTCACACACATGAGCATGTTTAACGTGGATTCCTAACTAAGCAGAATGTGACTAGCAAATGCGTACATGTGGACATTATTTAGGAGTGTACATGTGTACGACTACATTTCAATCAAGGAAAGGAATGTATAACGTGTGGTGAAAATGTGATAAGTGAATTTATGGTTCTACATTATTCAAATATGTACATGTTAAAGCTTGTTTCATGGATTATAATGAATGTGCACAGACTACAATGTAGAGCTGAGTTAAGCCGGATTTAAAAATTAATATGTACATGTGTACACACCATCAGTATCATAAGAGAGGTCATCATAGAGCAAGGTATGTCAATTTCTTCATCGCTAATCTCAAATAATGGCCTAGTTTCTCGTGTAAGTGGGGTAGTAGGAGTAGGTTGGTGAGAAAATTCTGAGTTTGTGTAGGAGTTCGCGGGGACTGGGCTGTTCTTGGTTTTGATAATTTTTGCATTCATGTGTTCTAACATATGTGATACGTAGATGTGTACATGTTTCTTTCACATACATGAGCACGTTTAACGTAGATGCCTAAATTTCAATCAAGAAAAGGAATTTATAACGTGTGGTGAAAATGTGATAAGTGAATTTATGGTTTCACATTATTCAAATATGTACATGTTAAGGCTTGTTTCGTGGATTATAATGAATGTGCACAGACTACAAGGTAGAACTGAATTAAGCCGGATGTACAAATTAATATATACATGTGTACACATCACTAGTCTCATAAGAGAGGTCATCATAGAGCAGGGCTATGTCAAATTCTTCATCGTTAATCTCAAATAATGGCCCAGTTTCCCGTGTAAGTGGGGTAGCAGGAGTAGGTTGGTGAGAAAAATCCTGAGTTTGTATCGGAGTTCGCTGGGACTGGGCGGTTCTTGGTGTCTACTTTGATGATGATCATATGTGTACACATAAAAAGGGTGTGGATGGATCTTCTCTAGATGTGCATGTGTACGTGGTGTTGGTTTATACAAGTGGATATTTTTTTTGGTGTACACTAAGGAAGGTTAAATTGTATTGGTACTACAAAAGGTAAAAATGTGATTTCTAATGTGTATTTTCTAGATGTATTTCTACTACAAAAGATTAAAATGAAAAAACTCTAAAGTTTGTGACTAAATTAAGAATCAATTTTCACATTTAAAAGTATTGGGGTTACAAAATAAATAACAAATAAATTTAGGGACCAAATATACAAAAATGCCCAAATTAGCCATTGTTGTTATCTTTTCAGTTTCAGAGCGTGTAAAAAACTAAAAATAAGCTTAACTTGAGGATCGGATGTGATCCCAAGCTTGAACCTTCACTTTGCGGTGAGGAGAAGAGGAGACGTTTCGATGGCGGCGGCGAGAGTTTAGGTCACGACGATGACATAGACGAATTATGGTGGAGAAGGAAGGATCTTGGCAAAAAGGTAGAGATGTAGTTGAGAAGGAAGTGTTGCGGCAGCAAAAAAAAATCTGACTTAGTGACCTTTAAAAAAGACCATGACGGTGTAGGTGGGACGACAAGCACATGCTCCGGATGCGGTGGAAGGTTTATGATGATGTAAAAAATAAACTTTGATAATATTTGATTTTTGTAATATGTATTTAGTTTTAGATGTCCAATTCCGAGAAAAAAGAAAAGATGACTAGTTTTCAGACTTTGTGGGACTCTTTTTTAGTTTAGTTTGTGACTTAAGTTAACAAAAACTGTCTGAGTAGTTGTAACTGTCCTATATTGATAATAAAAACTTAAAACTGCCCTGCAGTGATATATTTTCATACGTCCAAGCTTGTATGTTCCAGCTTTAATCAAATTTAAGATGACCAGACAGAAACCAAAGCCAAAAATTGACAGAAAATGCTAAATATAGATATTCAATAATAAATCAGAAAATTAAGTTGTAAGTAATTGGATCGATGATCTATTTTCTATAAAAAAATTTCTTTACGTTTCATAAGTAGTGTTATTTTGATATTTTTCACATAGATAATTTTATTTTTGAAATTATTTATTTTATTATTAATTACACATATTCAATCAGAAACCAAAATTATTTATAAAATTGATGTATTTGTAATTAATATTTAGCTCAAAATTGCATTGAAATTTTAAAGTGACACTCTTTATATAACAAAAAAATGTTAAAGTGACACTTATTTAAAAACAGAAGAAAATATTATACACCATCTGTTTCAATTTATTTGTCATTTTGGGTTTTTACACACAGATTAAGAAATGATTTAATTTACATATTTTCTAGAAAAACATAATTACCTATATATCTAACCACATTTTAACCAATAAAAATAGAATAAAAGATAA